AGGTCAAAAAGCCGTCGCTCTTCTTCTTCTTGACGTCCTGGGGGGGACTGTTGGCTGGGTCGGCGGTTTCGGGACCGATCTCGATGATTTCGTCGTTGTTTTCCGACGAAATGTCGGAGCTGGGCTCTTCGATGTTCATACGCTCCTCGAGGAGGGTCCAGGAGTCTGTACTGATATCCGAGGCGCTGCTACTTTCATGAATTTCGGTCATAGTATCCAAATTACTGGAGATTTTGACAGAATGGATGAAAAAATTTTTAAATGAAAAACTGACGTGGATGTTTTTGTTTGATTTATGATGAACAAAACTTTCATGGCTGGCTGAGCTCACACGAGGGATTTTGTTAAATTTTTAGGATTGTGTTACTAAATTATAAACAAAACCTTTAAATTTTCTATTATGAGATTGCAAAGAATGTTTGTACAGTGTTGAATTAACGGGTTCAAAAAACGGAAAATAAGTTTATTATTGACTTGTTAAAGATGCCAAAGGAGGCAGTCGTATTCGATAATCTCGTTTTTAATAATTCTTCGGATATTTACATTGCCGTATTTAATTTATGAAGTTAATAAAGGCCTGAGCTAAAAATGAGAAGAAAAGGAAATTATTTTGATTGGTTTTTGTTCAATATGAACAGATTTTATTAATTTTTTTCTATTTATTCGTAACACTAGTGAAGTTTACATTGATTAAATTTTTTTAATGACAATACTCTAATTTAGATTTGTTCGTTGTTTTCATTATAACTGTTGGACGGACAAAAAAATAGATATGTATATACCTGGTTAGTTCCAAAATGTAGGTATATATTTGAATTTTAAAACAGTTAACTATCATAAAGAAATATATACAACAAAAATCTTACAAGCACTATATATTTTTGGATTTTCCAGAAATGACATGAACTTCTACGTTTCAGACAGTATAAGGCATATTTTTTTCTCACTGTCTTCTCATTAATTTTTTTTCAGTAATCTTAACCTTTGAAAATCTTATTTAGCTTCACTGATTAGAAAATCTTTAATTTTCCAATATTTTATGTTATTTAGTTTCACAAACAGTTGACGTAAAAAGTACACAAGAAATAAGGCGTTTAATTAAATTTTCTATCAACGAAAAACAAAAAAAAATACCGACTGATACTCTTCTATTTGAAATAAAAAGTTACTGTCATTTCCGGTAAAATCAGAAATATTTTAGCAGTAAAACTAAATTGATTTTCTACCGTTTTTCGTGGTCACTTAGTATCCCAGAAATTCCAGACTTGTCTTTTCAACTACGTGAGTGTTAATTAAAATTAAAAAAAATGTGTTAAATTAAGACTGCGTTATTTATTTCTTTTAAATAAACTGCGAGTCAAAAAATAGGACTGCGAATTCATTTAATTTAAGCCTGCTCAACTTTTTAGAAAATTATAATAATAATAACAATGAACGTATCTTTCACTGATATCCTTAACTTTTGACGCGCAGTTTCTTAAACCAACGTTTATTTTAACATATTAGTGCACCAGGTAAATTGGGACACCCGGTATACGTAGCGCGTTCCAATATTCTGGTAACGGAAGAACAGCAAACTACTCAAAAAAATTCCTACAAGTGTTTCTGCATATAAAGAAAGTTCCATTCAAAGTTTACGCATCAAAGCTTTAAGTGGAAAACTATATACAGGGTGATCAAAATATGTTGGATAAGTTCGATGGTACGTTGTTAACAAGGTCCTCAAGAACTCGAAAAAAATGGTTAAAAACATCCTTGCACCAAACTTTTGAAAATATTAAACTTCAAACTTGAAGAGTTAACTATAGTTAGATAACTAGTTATTAATAATTTAATGATATTTTGCCGGAATACAATCCACAACGTCATTTTTTTGACAGATGTTGTTTTGGAAATTATTATATGAAGTTTGATATTTTCAAAAATTTTTCTAGCTTTAATGTACCATCGAGGGAGAAATAATCATCCTGTATTTTTACAAATTTAGATCTATAGAAAAAGGACGAAAACGATCTGATACAAGGCTCTCTCTCATGTCCAAAAAGGTTGAAATTTAACACTCTATATGTAGTTATTTTTAAAGATGATAGATTTGGAATTTTCTTCAAAATATTAAAATATTTTGTCAGTTTCAATAATTAAAAAAAAAAAAAAAATTAAAGGCTGAATTTTATCCATAGATAAAATTTTTAAATTTTAAGTCTCCTTCTATTTTTCAAATGCGAAAACTTATACAGGGTGTTTACTAAACATGCGGCAAACATTCAGGCGAGTGTTTTTTGACTTATTTTAAGGTTTTTGGCTTTGGCCATAAAAGCAAAGTAAAATTACTGTGTATTTTTTTTATTCCATTTGACAAATCTAATGATTCAGGGGTGTAATGTAATAATTCCATTCTGGTATTTTTTAAAAAGTTCGATAGTCAATGAGGAGGAGACTGGATGATTGGTGGTAGTCATTTTCAGCAGTTTTTGTAGATTAAGAATCTCTACATGTAATATGAATTATGAACATACTTTTTTTTAAACTTTAATCGCCCTGTTTATTCAAAAGAAAGCATATTTCCGAAAATCACCCAAGAACAAAAAAATGTTAAAATAAGCGAAGGAATAACCCCCTGAACATTTATCGCATGTTGGTAAACACCCGGTATATTCGTTGAACTTATCCGTGAATGTTCAGACCTAATCATCTTGTATAAATTAGTTAAAAAAACAGTCTTTAACTTGTTACATCTTTATCAAGGTAAGAATTTCCTGCAAAATTCCAGAGTTGTATACAGGGTAATAAAAAAATGACGCACTAACAACGGTACATACAGAGGCCTAACTTCGAGAAAAATAATTTCGAAATTGTTATTTTCATTAAATGTCAATTTGAGGTTAACTTCCACATAGAAAAATCGATTTACATAGATAGATTAAAAAATGTGTGTATTTTTTGTGTATTATAAAACAAATATATTTAAGGACTTTTTAAATTATTTTTTTATTTGGTCAATAAACAGTCCTTAATAACTTTTGTACCATTTTTTGGTTACCATGTATATACAGAGTGAGTCACTAAGAAAAAAATTCGGAGACTATAGTTGTACGGTTAATTTTGTACCATGCATTAAAGTAATTTTCGACTATACAGAGTGTTTTGTTGTTAAGCCATAGCACACTTTGTTTTTTTTTTTTTAATGAGAACACCCTCTGATGATTTTACATATTTTAATTACCCCATTCCTAGACTTTATAATCATGTTTTTAACAATACAGGTTTTACAAAAAAATCTCAATAATGTTATTTTTAAGATCGGTGCCGCAATATTTAATGGAAAGATGAACAAAGATACGCGCTTTTTGTTGTGGCATCGATTAAATAAAATTTTAATATACAGAGTGTTTATAATAAAATTGTAAAAATGTTCAGTACTTTTAGTTCTTTTAAAAAAGTGAAAAATCGCAATAGTTATCAACTTTAAATATGGAAAGTACTTAACAAAAAGAAAGAGAACAAAAAACAAAGTAACAAATAAAATACAAGGTGTTCTAATTGAAAAAACGGATATATCGATATTACAAGATTGTAATAATTAATTTTTTTATACACTCTATATTTAAACTAATTTTGTTTTTGTTTGTCTTCCTACAAAATTCATGCACTGTTAAAAAATTTCATTAAAATTGGAATAATAATGTGGCAACGTTGCATCGAAATTTCAAAAACAAGTCGTGGTTTATAAAGCTTAACGAGAGATCAATCAGCATAAATGTGAAAATATATTATAGGTATATTAATTTTCTAATAAAAAAATCCGTTATACAATCACGATTTTGATGTTATCTTAGTTCACAGCGCAGTTTTATTAAGAAAATGAGATGATCTTAGAAAAATAATCGTTTGTCTTTCATCCCTTGGCACGAGATCATCAACACGTTTTGCTTTACGAATCAGCTCGTCGAAATGTATTCTCCAGAATTTTTTTTTTAGGGTTTTTGGGCAAATTTTTAATATCCGTATGAATTTATTGATTGCTTTCGAATACCTTTACAAAACTACCTAAAATCATTTTCTTTAAGATTTATTTTTAGTTCCAGAGTTTCCAACAATTTTTCCAGAATAGTTAAAGCAAAAGGGACAATTTTCCAGATATTAAAAAAATTGTTTTTATACCAAATTTTTCTAAAATCTTGTTATGTTTTTTGAACGAGCTCGTCGAAATGTGTTTCCCAGAATTGTTTGAGCATATTTGAGCAACTTTTGAAAATCTCTTTTTTTCAATTTTTCTGAATGGATTTTTTGACCGATGTGAAAGATTTTGAGATATTTAAAAAAATTCATTTTCAAACCAAATTTTGCAAAAATTGAAAAATTTGGGTTATGTTTTATGCATGACGTTTGATGCAATTCAGGATTTATTTGATTAAGAACATCACGAAAATTGTGATGCTGAACAGTCATTTTTAATTTTTAAAGCATTTAACATTTAGGAGAAGTCGCATAACTGAGGAAAACCTAGAAAAAGTAATGGTTATTAAGAATTCCCGAAGTTCTAGGCCACGACTGCAAGCGCTGGCGATCGGACAGCAATGATCATCAATTCCGCGCTGCCAAAGCCTGCTAATAATATTACAGACATATAACAAAAGCGAGCGAAGCGAGCGATATCTTTCTCGCACACATTTGGTGAAACAAGTTCACGATCTGTCTAGATTTTATAGAACGACTCGTTATGTAAAGTTACATTATCAATTTTTTAATTTTTTTTGGAGAGAAATAGTTAGTCCATATAAGATGGAACTAATTTTCTTCATATAAATTTTGTTTTTTGAAAAATATTGGAAGTGTTAAGTAAAGCTCGCGTAGTGAGCTAGATTTGGTAGACATGCAGCTCGCATACAGAACGAATATGGATCTAATTTTCTTATATAAATTTTGCGTGTTTTTTTCGGAAAAATTGAATCTCCCCGTCGAAAATCCCCAATTTAATTTACAAAAAAGATCCCTCTTACCTTATCCGGTGTGTTGTTGTCCCTTGGCGACAGCGGCGGAGAAGAACAATTTGCCAGTGCCGGTACGCCGAGCTCGTAAATGTTAAGCATATGGGCAGCTTGTGCGTGGACCATCAAGTCCCATGCGTTTTGGAAGGCGTCTTTACACTGGACACACAACAGCGCCGCTGACGAGTGGTCGTCTGCAGGGTTCTCTGCGGACGCAAACGTATTCGTCAATGGACTCCAATTTACACGAATGGAGGAAAAGCAAAGATCCGAAAAACTACTCACTCGACTTGTTCGAATCGCATTTGCATGTGAAACGTAGTTTGCAGTAAGTTTTCTTGTGCTCGAGTAAGTCGTGCAGGTCTGTGTACATTTCCCGGCAGTTGCCGCAGATCAAGATATCTTGATTGCCTGAAAAGGTAAGAATTAATGAAACTGTTGATGCTAATTCATTCCGACTCCTTGGGGATATTTCACCAAGTTTGCGTCGCTGAGAAAACGCAAACCGGATTTGTCTGGGCGCTGAGCGGAATGTCCGGAAGGTGTTTGGAAATTTTAATTGAAAAACGCTATCGAGGATGCAGCTGCAAGGTGCAGGGATGCGGTGGTGTGTTGGGTGGAAATTGCTAAATCTAGCGGGATGGAGTTTAAGTTAGTTTTGCTGTGATTTATCTCTTTGAGGGTAATGAAAAGAAGAGGTAGTGAGTGATTTTAGGTGATTTATCTTCATTTGTCTATACGAGTAGGTTTAAGAACTCATTAATGGTGTAGTTTTGAAATGATAATGCCACTCAGTATTAAGATAAGAAAGGCAAGTTTCATTCGATCGTTACGGGCTTTCAGAAGTTGGGAATTGGGACGGGCAGAGTGCCAGAATGTTATTGGTAAAAGTGTTGAGGGTAGTAATGATAACTTCGTAAAGTCTGGACGATCTTCATCATTATTATTATAAATTAGAGAAGATTAGCATCAATTAATCAAACAAGGTTTATTTGTACCCCTTGGATACTAAATATTAGACATATTATTATACAGGGTGAGTATTATAATAACCAAATTTCAATGCAACACAAAATTCTTATCTCATATGTAACTCTTTTCATATTTTATTTTTCTAGAATGTACAAACATAGTTACCTAGTAGTTAATTTTGACTTTCGCAGTAATTCTATTTGTCAATTTTGAGCTCCGATAAGTTTTTAGTCTTCGCGATAAGATGAGGGTTAAATACACGAACGATAAAAAGGTTGATATGATCCTGATTTTTGGAGAATGCGGAAAAAATGCCGTTGCAGAAGCGAATCTCTACGAAAGAAGATATCCCGACAGGCGACATCCATCCGACCAAATCTTTAGATGTTTAGAAACAACCTTAAGACAAAAACAAGAATTAATTAATTAATTAATTAAGACAGGTAGGAATATCTCAGTCTTCCGTTTCAAAAATTTTGAGAGCGAATAAGTTCCACCCTTACCATATGACATCAGTACAAAATCTAAAAGAAGAAGACTTTCCCAGAAGAATACAATTCTGCAATTTTATGCAACATCAACTAGAGTTGGACAACAATTTTTATTCAAAGTTTTGTTCAGCGATGAAGCAAGATTTGGTAATAACGGGGTTGCTAATCGGCACAACTGTCACTATTACTCCCAAAATCACCCACACTGGATCAAAACAGCTCATTTCCTCACCCTGTATATACTAAAGTGAATAAAATCTAAGTGTTAATTTCTCACCATACAATAATAATTGAATCTAAACTATCCTTTTCTTTGCCTGTTGCATTTCTTCTCCAAATATTTTTTATTCTGTAATTCTGCGGATAAGATTGACAGGTGCCTTTATTGGCTCCATTTGGAATCCCATCTTTCCTCACTGCTTTTCCCTTTTTTAGTTTCTCTAATTGTCTTCTTGCTTCTTTCTCTATAAATGGCTCCACATTATAATCATTTTCATCTTTTCTTTTATTTCGCTCTTTTCTTGTTTTTCTGTACTCTCTACATCCAAATTTTGTCGCTTACAGTTTCCTTTCTCTTCCCATTGTGAATAATATACTTCCATAATTCTTTCTCTGCTTTAATTTCCTTTATCGTTTGTGCTTCTTCTTTCATTACTTGCTTTTTTCGCTCTGTACATTTATTTCTATTCGTTTCTCTAATTTCGAGGATCTCTTCTCTTGTTCTCTTGTTATCTTTTGGTTTTTCCATCTTTTTAATGCCTTCTTCCTTGATTCTCTTTTTAAGAGAAGATTCTTCTTTCCACCAGTTTTGTTTTCTCCCTCCACTTCTACTTACACTAATTCCTTCATTTTTGCACCTCTTCATCCACTCCAATAGCCTTCTCATTCCATATTAATCTTAAATATTTCTCCATTTTCTTCTCTTCTTTTTTCTCTCTTCTGTCATATTCAGCTAATTCGGAGTGTTTGGAAACTGTTCTATCTCCCATTTTGAACTGCGAAAATTTTTCCCATACTTTTCCGTTTACTATTAAATATTTTGTTACCGATTGTCTTCTCGGTCCTACATAGATTAATTCATCTTCATCTTCGCCATCTTCATTTCCATTCAAAGTTTCTCATCCTCTGTCTCTTTTGCCTTTGGATCTTTTTTTTCGAGCATCTTCTGTATTGCCTATTCTTCCCCCATTTTCTCCTACTCTTGCATTGAAATCTCCACCTACTAACCGTTCCAATGTGCCATTGCATTGGTTTCCTTTTCAGGTTTATCTTTAATTCTTTCCTCTCTTGTTTGACCCCAATTATTAATCCCGCCTTTAGCCCCTCTTTTCTTCTTTTCTCTTTATGACCCCTGACATGTCTAGTTAGATTCCCCTAGCAATTTCTCTTTCATCTTTTCCCACCCTTTTACTTTTATCCATGTTTCTACTAAACCTACAATATCAAAATTCGCTACACACTCCCAACAGTCATCTTCATCTTTATTCTTCAGACGGGTATCACTCCAAAAAAAGGAATTTTCGTTTTCTTGCCATTTTGCTATCCATTATCTTTCTTGTTATCATTCCCTCGAAAGTATCTTAATATTTTAATTTTTTCCCTTTTTTTTTCTTTATTCTTAGTCTTCTTAATTTGCCTGTTACCTCAGGTAAGAAAATATAAAGCCCTCCCGCTTTCTAGTCGACGAATCGACGATGTTATTAATTTAATTGTTGTTTAATTATAATCATTGTTAAATAGGGTTAACTGGAATAAGTAAATTTCCGGCCACGTGTTCGGGATGGAAGTTTACACTATTATCGTTAAATTGTATTAGAACCATGAAGATTAAAAATCTTAACATGACCTGTGATTTTACAAATTTTTACACTTTTCTGATTAAAAAAATCATTAATCAACTGGTCCTACACTAATTACACTCATTGAGTGAGACTGTGGTGTAGAATGGGATTTAATTTGTTTGAGCAATTGCCCTTTGGTGAAGTTAAAAACAAAATTACCTAGGAAATTTAACACTTCTTTACACTTACAAAGAGTGAACTGACAAAAATTCAACCCAACCGCTTACTACCACCCTAATAAAACGGCTTTCTCTAATTCCTTAAGCGATAAAAAATGGGTTATTATCTACGTTAATAAACATAAATATTTGCAATTGTATATAAAAATAATGGTCTTATTTAAAAATTTCCAGATCACACATATGTACTCGTATACTTGGAAGTCTGCAATTTTGCATAAGAGTTTTTAATTTGATGAGGTTTGATTAATTTGCAATTTGTCAACTTTTCTCATATTTTTCAAATGGGGGACATTTGGGGGGAAAACTTATAACATTTTCGACCTTGTCATGACCCCTGAGTGTGATCTTTTATTGCCAAAGTTTATTCAAACGATTCATTTGGAAATGTTATTAAGATAAACCTCAACAATTTACAAATTCAAGAAACGTGTTCAACATAAATGTTTGCAACTGTATATAAAAATAACGGTCTTATTTAAAAATTTCCAAATCAGACATATTTACTCGTATACTTGGAAGTCTGCAATTTTGCATAAGAGTTTTTAATTTGATGAGGTTTGATTAATTTGCAATTTGTCAACTTTTCTCATATTTTTCAAATGGGGGACATTTGGGGGGAAAACTTATAACATTTTCGACCTTGTCATGACCCCTGAGTGTGATCTTTTATTGCCAAAGTTTATTCAAACGATTCATTTGGAAATGTTATTAAGATAAACCTCAACAATTTACAAATTCAAGAAACGTGTTCAACATAAATGTTTGCAACTGTATATAAAAATAACGGTCTTATTTAAAAATTTCCAAATCAGACATATTTACTCGTATACTTGGAAGTCTGCAATTTTGCATAAGAGTTTTTAATTTGAAGAATTTTGGGGGGAAAATTTATAACATTTTCGAACTTGTCCTGACCCCCCCTGAGTGTGACTTTTTTATTGCCAAAATTTATTCAAACAATTCATATGGAATTATTATTAACTACTGCACCAATTGTTGCCTTTTATATGCATTTTTTGAATTTGCCTAATTATTCCCACCAACAATTTGATAACGTCACCTTACAATTTTGAATGGTAAATGGTGTTTAAATTTTATAAAATAACATACTTCTGTATTTCAACTTTTTTAAACTACGCATTCAGATTTTCCTAAAAATTAATAAATAAGAAGTGTGTAATAATGTTTATCGCATTATAGGATTCCTTTATGGGGTATTTTCTTTTTTTTGCACTATAACCGGTAATATGTATGTTTTTTAACTAATATAGGTGTTACCATAAAATAAATAAAATGGCCCAATTTTCATTTAGTTTTCCATGTTCTGGTAGTTTTTGCCTACTTTTAACTTTTCTTTCCCTTCTTTCTTCTGTCCCATTGCTGATTTTTCACTGTATTTTCTTCCTTTGACCTTTTCTTTTTCCTTAGAATTTTATATAATCTTGTTAAATTCGTGTAAATCTTGCAATTAGTATTTGCTTTTACAATACTATAACACCCGCAGTAAAAATTTCTTGTTATTGAGGAATAATAAAATTGTTCAAAGAAATGATAGATATTATATTTTCTTTAACATTGCTAGAAGCAAAGTAAATATGTTGATTTACTTACAATATAAAGAACACTCGTAAAGAGTGCACCTTTATTGACAATAATGTACAATTAATGCTTATCCCAACATCATCTTTAAAAAAATATTACACGTCTTTCTTCAGATATATGTGATAATTGGTGTAAAACGATAAGGCACTAATTTTCATGTTATTCGGAAATATTAAAAATAATTACAAATCAGGTTACATCATCTTTTTTTCTCCTTCTCGCTCTCTATTTTCATTGTACTTTCATTGAAATTGCCTTGTGATTATTATTAAAAATCGCATCGTTACTTACGCGAAACGAGATAATTTTCTTTCGGTGGCTTA